GTCAAACCCTTTGTTTTATGAACAGTCAATGAGAAGGCATTTTGGAGCAGGAATTGTATAAACTTTATTAATTAATTAAGAAAGTATTTTCACCACTCATTATTGTAATATGTGTACAACAAATGTATAATTAACATTTTGTCTTGTCTTGTCTTGATGATGGTTGAGTTCCTTTTCCTTATTGTTATCCAATGTTAGATAACATGATCAAAAGAAACAATGAAAAATTCCATCACCTAAACTTTAATTAATTAAAAAATGTATTTTTAATATAATAAATAGGATAATATTTGTCTTGCATAATCTTAATGCTATTTGGGTTAGCATGATGGAAGTTCTATTTGTCACGTTTGTCACTGTGACGATCTCAAATTTATGTTGTGTGACTATAATTTTAAAGTACTTCAGTATAATAAAAATAAGTTTTACAATTATAACTATATGAATATTATACTGCGGGAACTACCAGCAGGCTTCTTAAAAAGGAAAAACGAAGTTACGTGCAGACAAAATCATCAAGAATTAAGAAGGGCCACCATCAAATGTATCTCGTCTAAAATTTTGGTCCTTGATGGTGTTTTTAGGAATGGACTTGATGATGATGCTATTGGACGTCACAGCCAAACTACATTCAAGGCATCAAAACCTCTCCAATTGCTAGTAATACACATCACTATCGAATCTTGAAGCTTTGGAAGTGGGTGTCGCTAAACAATCTCTATTTCATTTGAAAGGTTATTTATTACTGATGAAGGTTACGTACAGCAAATCTTCCGTGCTATTACCATTCTTAATCATCATTACACAATATCTATCTCTTCAAGCAAATATGAAGTCAACAGAGTTCGGGACAGTTACTTGCTAACTTCTAAATAGTTAATTGAGTGCCAAAAGGGATTTTTGGATGTAATGCACGGGCTTACTGGTCCCAAATGTTCAACAGTATATGATGGAAGCAGGAAATTCAGAAATATCAAGAAATGATTTGTTAATAATTATTAAATATATTAATGAATTGTTGATCTATTCAATCAACGATGTATTATAATAATTTTCTTTAGTTATTTTATTATTAAAGATTTTTTCCAAATAATATTTTTATTTGTAGAGACTGTTGGCTGTGTTTTTTTTTTATTAAAATTAAAATTAAATTAAAATATATAGTAAAATTAAAAAGATATGTACTGTGCATTAATAAGAATATAATGAATGAATAAATGAATGAATGATGATGATAATAAAAATAAAAATAAATTATTGTTATTATTACGTATTTGCAAAAATTAAATACATTGAAAATTAAATTTATATCAGTGAATGAGTGAGTGAGTGAGTGAGTGAGTGATGTCAATAATGTTGATAATAAAAGAGTGTGTTTGTAAATAAAGCAATTAATGATTGATACATTTTACAATTATCGTGATTAATCCTATAAATAAATGTACATAACCGACTGGTTAGATAATATTATTACAATATTACAGTTTTTATTTGTAAAATCAATATAAAAATTACTAACCAAAAATACTATATATATTAGTACATGTAACCACTGCCATTATTACTGCTACCACTACTTACTCTTCTTCCACTACTACTGCGGCTATTTATTCTGTATCCTCTTTGTCGTTTACTGCCACGTTTTTTCACCGTGACCCACTCTTCACTACCATTAACAGCATTTCCATTAATGGCATCATGTGCGGTAGGAATATCGAGATCTGGGAAAAAATCATTGGATTCACATGGTGATTCAGGTGGTGAAAATGGCGCAATTATATGTTTTATATTAGCCATCTCATTCAACATTGGTGTGAAGTTGTCTTGTTCCTTTTGTCCTTCTCCTAATTTTAATGCTATCACCTCTGATCGTAAACGCGACATTTCTTCTTTCATTAATTCATACTCGTTTTCTATTATTATCATTATTATTATTTATTATAATAACATATTAGCATGTAAATATGTATATGTGCGTGTGCACAAATTTGCATATACTTTTAATTACCTTGAACTTTTGATCGTTCAATTTGTTTCTTTAATTTTGAATTTTCATTCTCAAGTTGATCTATTTTTGCTTTTTCTTGAACTAAAAATTAAAAACAATCATTAATAAATACATCTGACTAACATATACAGAAGATAAATATATTTATTTATTACCTTGTGAGCTTGTTAAGTTTTGAACTTGATTATTCAATTGTTTGATTGTTTTGCTGTTTGATTTTTTTTCTTTTTCATGTGCTGATTTAATCTTGCTTAATTGCTCTTGTTTTTCTTCGATTTCCGAACCAATTCTATCCTTTTCTGATTTTATATCTTCTTGATAAATCTGTATTATAAAAGATGTCAATCCATCTCTATAGCCCATCATTTCAACATACGCTTCAATTTCTGATTTGGCTGCTTCCAACTCTGCTGTCGTTATCTTTAACTTGTTATTTGATACAATAAGATCTGCTTTTGCTGTGTTTAATAGAGATTTTATTGATGATAAATCGGCTTTTGCCCATTCAAGTTTTGATTTTGTAAAGGAAAGTTGTGCTTTTGTTGAATCAAGCTGTGATTTGAAAAAGGAAAGTTGAGCCATGGAGGACTCCAGTTCGTCTGCATGTTCTTCCTTGGCGGCGTGGAGCTCTGCAGAATATTTTGCCTTTATAACACCTAATTCTGCCATACTTTTCGCTTTGGTTGCTTCTATTTCTGCCGTGCACATTTCTTGCGCTGCTTCTATTTCTTCATTAAATTTCGATTGTACATTTTCAAGTTCGGTCTGTTTATTCTGTAGATCATGTTGAATTGTCGCCAGCTCTCTTTTCATTTGTTGTAATTGATTTGTATGTGATGTTATTAGTTTTTCTCGATCTGCCGATTGTTCTTCTAATTCCAATAACGCCAGGTCTCTTTCTTCTGTTGTCGCAGTTAGATCTGATTTGACTGTTTGTAATTCATGTGCACACTCCAACAATGAAAAGTTTAACTCGCTAATTTCTTTCTCGCGCACTCTTAACTCTGATTTTATTTTATCCAATTCATTTATTAAATTATTCTTTTCTTTTTTGGCTTTTTCCAGCGTCTCTGTCAACTTTATTGTTTTCTGATCTCGTTCAATGAGCAAATTTTCGAGATTGGTGATTTCTTGACCGTTATCTTGTAAATTTTTTTGTGCTTCTTCTAATTCTGTGAGAGCTTTATCCTTTTGAGACTCCAGGCCTTTTATTTTTTTTTCCAAGGTTTCCAGTGTAGCTTCCCGTTGTTGTATCTCCTCTTTTAAATCATGAATAGATGAAGGTTCAACAACAGAGGCTCGTATCTCACTGGTATGCGTGTTTCGGTAATGACTAGCCCTTTGCTTTTTTTTTGTTAGATAGGTTTTTAACGTTGAGGTTATATCCCTACTCTGGCGATTATGGTTATCTTGTTTAGGGTTGGTGGTGGCGGTGTTGTTGTTTGTTGATGTTAACGGTGATGAATGTGATGATGGTTGTGGGATGTTCGATAAGTTTTCTTCATCATGTGAACGAAAAAAAGCAAAACTATGTCTAATACTCTGTCGACCTCCAGGGTTTCGATTTTTAAGTTGTAAGAACTTCAGTGATTTCATTCTACTATCATGAATAAAGTATTAATTTTATTCAGAAATAATAAATAAATAAATAAATAAATGAATTTTTTTTGGTGAAAATCAATTTATTTATTTACAGTTTTTATTATTTTTTTGTACATATCATTATAATAATTCTAAATTGAATATTGATTATTATATTATATTTCGTCGATGTTGTGCACGGAGGTACTTTATTCATTACATGCACTATTATTATTATTATTTATTTCATCGTTGCTAAATTTATTTATTTTTGAAAATTTATTATTAATAAACATTATATAACATTTCCGAATTAATATTTTGATTACGATAAATCGTAGGTTACGAAACAAGTTATATTAATAAAATAAGTATGTATTTATTTTCAACACACTCATGTGGAGTTTTCAAGGAATCAATTATCATTTTGATTTCTTTTGATTTGTTCACGGATATTATTAGTATTAATTAAACTTGCATGAATGTATATTTGATCAACCAAAGTTAATTTTAGTGTAAACAAAAAAACATAATAATAATAATAATTTATAAAATAAAACGTTTGTGTCGCACATTTACTGAAACCGCGTGACCATGGAACACAAATAAATATTCAGGAATTAAATGTAGACTTTACTATTGTTAAAACACATCAAAAAATCAGGCAGAATAAAAATTGTCAAAAAAAAAAAAAAAAAGAATTAAGAGAACATAAAAAAGGATTAGACTTTTTTAAAAAGAGGATACGCAAAATGTACAATCATATTTTTATTCTTCTTCTTCGTTTACTGATAATATGTTTTTATAAATAAAATTTTTTGCTGCTAATGCTCCCTTTTTAAATACGTGAAACGTTTGAAGTTATTTATTAAAAGTTTTCCAAATAATAACAAACAATGAATTTTCTTTTCATGCCTTACCTTGTCATGATATATAGCACCTACAAGTGCCAAAAGAGTTTTGCCAACGACCTTTAATTCTCCTGAGGGTGCTAAATAAGTTTCCTGTAATTTTGATTCTTCTAATGCTTTATAATTTATCTTTAAAAAAATATCGAGAAAAAAAATATTTAATACAATTCCATTATCAAAGATCTAATATGATTCGGAAAGTGACATAGATGCTCACTGGTGTCCAATACATCAACTTGTTTAATCCCATTTTCATTCCAATTATTCCAATTTTGTTATTATCTTTGTTTACATCTACATATCCGCCGACTATATCGTTCAATTTATCTGCTGACAAATCCTCATACTCTTTTATAAAATAATCAGTTGAATACAATTCAATCACTTTTTTACCTATACAAATAAAATTTAATATATATAAATATGATGATATATATAATATGATATAAAATTTTTTTTATACAACTCACCAAGAAAACATAATCGTTCATTTGTAGGTGAATCAACCGAATTAAAAGATTTATGAGTGCAAACTTGATGCATCAATTCTTTATTTGAAAATTTTATACCAAACTTTTTTAAAAAAAGTTTCATCCTGTGACACAAAATTTGTGCAACAAAAAAAATATTAATAAATGGATCTAGAAACATTAGTAATTAGTAATTAGTAATTAGTACTAATCGCAATTTTTTATTATTGAAAATAACATAAAAATTAACGTAATTATACTCTGCAGAACGTTGGCATTGTTGAGAAACAAACCAAGAGTTCCTATATATAATTATGTGATTGACGCGATGTTCTCTAAAATTTTAATTTTCTTCAAATAAAATGGATAAAAAAAACACTAATAACAACAATAAAAATAAATCTGGTGCCTCTGCTGCTGCTAATTCAGCCAATAGGCGTCGGCAACGATGGAGACAACAAATCCAGCAGCGACAGCAAGCAGATGAATTTTCATCATCATCATCACTATACAATCAATAATATTAATAGTAATAATATTAATATTAATAATAATAATTATAACAATATTATCAACACTAATAATTATGGACCTTGGTCCTTGAAATTTAATTTGTGTATATCCTTGTTTTACAAAATAATTAAATATTATTGTTATCATTATTATATGAAATTTTAAATCAGAACGACTGCATGGGAGATAATACTTGCCCCAAAGCTTTTATGAGCTTGATTATGGCTACAGTGGGTTCCAAACTCTCCTATTATCACAAACCAACCCCGTAAGAAAATGTATTTGCTACACTGTAAGAGGCATTGCTTATAACATTACATAGTTGTGCATAAAGATGGCTCCTCAATTAATTGCAACTAATTGTGGCCAGTGTTGTGACCAGAAACTCTTTTGGCTTCCCGAAACGTTTCGGAAAACGAACTTACACTAAGCAGAAAACCAAACCTAAACCTAAGCATAAACTACTAACCTAAACTAGTTTCAGGTGGTTTCTGTTTCGGGTCACAACATTGATTGTGACATATGAAAATTGAATTGCGGCTAATTGCAGTTCCTATCTTTTAGTTGTGCAATGTGTTTTTAAAAAAGCGAGTTTTTTATAATATAAATTATTAAAATATCTTCTTGAAAAAAAAATCATCTAAATGAAAAAAATATCCAATGGCTTGTATCGATACTTTTTTAATTATTATTATTATAAAGAAACTGCGATAAGCATGATTAATGCTGAAAAACCAGAAAAGATGGATGTTAATAAATTGAGCACTCTCGTTACAAATTATTAGCATTAGTGATACCAATTAATTACACGCCAAAAGCAATTACATATAAGTTTATACACCAAATTTTAGTGTAAAAATGTTTATATTATTGTTTCTAATTTAAATTGATTTTGTTTACAGGATCTTATAAATAATAGAAAATCAGAAATCATCCCGTTAATGTTCCTGTACGTGAAAGTGTTTGGGTAGAGCTAAAGGAAGAATTACTAAAAGTGGTTATCCGTGCCGTAAATTAAGTTGTTTATCGGGTATCTTATCATTGTAATAAATTATAATTTAGAGTCAAACTTTGGAAAAAAATTTTAATAATATAGAACATGAAAACCAAAAAGAATAAATTTATTTAAACAAAATTACTATTCCACAATCTAAGCTTGCACTTTGATGAAGAGTCTCCATAATGTAATTAACTCTACTTTCAAACAAAATAAATCGATTTATATTTTTTATTAAATCAACTCGTCATAATAAGTTCTTTTGAATAAATTCGCTCAATTCTTTTTTTTTATTTAATGTTCAAATATAATTATAAAATCATTTGCCATTTATTTGTAAGCTACAAATATTTCAAGCTATTGAATTAATCACAGAATCATTTCTTTGATAATGTACATAAATCTAAAACTTTTACACTTAAATTAAATTGCTTCTAAATTGAATATAATAGTTTTTGACTTTAAACGTTGCTCCTTTTTTGTTTGCTAGAACCAATTCAATTAATTAAAATTTTAATATCTTGTTGCAGAATGTAATATAATCGTTTTATTTAAATCATTAAAGGTACGTAGCTATTCCAAAGCCGGGTATTCTAATGTAAAAGAAAAAACAAATGAAACTTGGGAGAAGTTTGATTTTACCATTTTTGTTAAAGAATTGAATTTTTTGTTCGAGATCCAGTCCATTCACCTATATAGTTCAATGTGGTTCAACACGCTTATATAAATATATCAATATCGTAGCTGATCTAGATCTCCTCGATTAGATCTGCAAATAGGACAAAATTTAGGACAAGTCCAATAAAAAAAATATATTTATTATTATTAAAAAAAAAGTCATTGTCTGAAGATCTTAATAATGATTTTTCAGAAGAAAATTTTCCAACTCGTGAGTTTTGATAGATGGATAATGAAGGATTGATTAATCGATGATGGTGGATTAATTATGATTTAAATAATGTTTAATATTAAGAATTTTCAACTTGTTCAAAAAACATCTGAAATTTGGAATTATTCATCAGAAACAAAATTCAATATATGTAGTAAATGTAGAATTTCATTTTCAATTAAAACTGGAATTTCTACTATTTTAAGACACTTAAGAATCAACGTAAATTCATCTAAAAACATTCTACATACCAAACAACATTGCAAGAATTAATCTCCATACTGACTTGGAACAAAATAAGCGAGATAAAACATTAATAAATTGATTAATATGCGACTTACAACCAGGCCAAAAGTGTTCCATGTGAACAGACATTTTCAGTAGCAGGAAATACCATTACTAGAACAAGAAGCAGGCTAAATCCTGAAACAGTGAAAGCTATACTCTAAAAAGTTGGATAGAAAATGGTATCCTAGAAAATAAAATTGATGTTTGATTTTTAATATTTTTTTTTTGGTAAAGATTTTATTATTTAGTATAAAAAAATTTGCTAAAAAAATTTTTTAATAAAATTATTTGTTACTCATATGATAAACATTTTTGATCTTTATTGGTCAGGACTGGGACCAGGACCGATTTTTCCATGTATTCTATCTGTTATTATTAATCTATTTCAAGAACCTTTATTAATATAGGATCAACCTTTTTTCAAATTCTTCATCACTAGTATCCTTTGTTCCAATACCAACACTATAACCCATTTTTTCTGTTGTTCAAAAAATTTTCCAATAGCTCTAAATTCTACTATTTCCCTTGAGCAGTTGCAAACATTCATCCCAATCACAGACTTACTTTTTAATATGTAATTGACATTGTTATTTGACATTTATTTCTTTCTTGTATTCTTAGGTTTATATAAATAAGTTACATCATCTAAATAATAAGACCGCGCGAAAAGGAAATAATAATGCAAGTCTACTCGTTCATACAAATAAATAAAGTTTTCTCAAAATTATATTTATATTACTTCTTGGTACTTTTATCAAGTCTAAGACGACGAGCTGTATCAATATTCCGCGAAATATCTTCAAGAAACACATAATCTATAAAATTTATAAATCATATTTATAAATCATATTTATCAATAATCATTATTGGTGATATTTTTCTTTCAACTTACCACTCATTAAATCTTTATATCCATATTTTTCTATATCAATGTAAATAGTCTTTTTACGAACACCATCACATCCAAACTTTACTTTATGCTCTTTAACACATCCCAATGAACAAGTTTTCATTTCACATTTTGGACATTTATATTTCCAGTTTTCGAGCTTGCACAGTTGGCATTGCTTCTTATTATTGGTATTATTTGATGATGTTGATGATGATGTTGTTGTTGTTGTTGTTGTTGTTGTTGTTGTTGTTGTTGCTGTTGTATGAGCTTGTTGTATTACAGTTTTATTATTGTCATCAACTATAAAAAAATTTATTTAGTAACTAACTACTAGACTACTTTAAATAATAAAATATTTTTATATTTTGATACCTTGGTCTGTAGAAAAGTCTTGTAAAATAAGATCAAGAGGATCAATGAAAGTAGTGTAGTCGGTCATTTTTTGGAATTGAAAATCAAAAAAAATTTTTCGTCATCTATTTTTCGTGTAACATAATAATTTATATTGTTTGGGTCCCTCAGAATGATTGTGTTTCCATATTGGGATCAAGTTCTATATGATTTATCGCATACAATGTAAAATCCATGAATGGATTTATTAATGTTATTGCTGTTATTATTATTCTATTCCAGAAGGTAGTGTTTTCATAACTGTTGAAAAATTCAACCTAAAATTGCTTTGTTTCCTTCCATCTTCACACCAAAAAGTTTGCTAATAAAATGTCGATGGAATTTTTGATCTTTTCTGACCCAGCTAGACTTACAATATATGAAAGAGTATATGTGCAAAATTCAATATTAATACTCATTATTACACTTTACCCGGTTATTATCAACAGAACCCAATTCAACGCGGAAGCCATGAACCTACAAAAAATGGCACCCAAATATTTATATACAAACATTGGTCAAGAGAATCCTCAGAATTCTTGGCAATTAGATTTAATAATTAACATTATATTATTATTCAATATTTACATCTTTACATAAAACAACCTTTTCTGCATTAAAATACTTTCATATAAAGTTCATGCTGAAGAAGCATAATCATTAAATAAACAAACATCTATTCGATTAAGACGTGACTAAACAGTTGGCCAAACTTTAATCATTAGCAATTCCATAACAAACAACGTTGGAAGTCTCGCGAAAAGTGTGAGCAATAAAAACAAAATCTTACTGAGAGTAAGCATAAAGATAAAAACAATTTAAACTATAAATTATCAGACAACACATGAGATTACAATCTCGCAATACATTTACATATATTATTGTCTTATCATTGAATTATTATGAATTAAATTATCACAACAACAAATTAATCATTTTGCACACCCAATCACCATTACTTATCTTCTTGTATTTCAAAGGCACCGTAATCAAATATATCAAACCATTTCGTTTTACAGCTGCAACGCAAACCTTTCATTTAAACTTTACTCGCTTGATAAATATATATTTAATTAATGTATCTAATAGAACCCAATTCACCATATATTAGCCAAATCCACTAACAAATCACGTATATGTTGTCCAGTTTTTGCATTCCACATGCACAACCTTCCGTTTGAACCTACTATTACTTATCTTTATCATGTTGAAAACATTTTATTGTATGTGTGGTTATTACGTGTTTTCATGTTCCATTATCAGGATTCCATACACGAAGACTAGAGTGAGCAGCAGGGGTAACTACTGTAGAAACAAGATAATTATGAGAAAGATAAAGCAGCCTTAAATCATATTAAAATATTTTGACAATTATGTTGAATACAAAGAAAATAATAATAACATACTTTCTAACGTTCACAAGTTTGTACCATTTTCTATACTCCAGGTTTTAACTGTTCTGTCACTGTTTCCGCTCATACACCTTTTATGATTGACATCCAACGCAAATGAATAAACTTTTCTTGCATGACCTCTTAGAAACCGAATATTACTATCAGTCATAACATTTTATACTCTCACAGTATGTTAGTAACTGCCATTTACTAATGAATATATTTCCTACACCAGCTAAAGCATGAACGGAATGATTGTGGGCATAAAGGGTACGAATATTATTATCAAATTCTGATTGCGATGAAGGTATGTATGATGGGTCAACCTCAAGATTTGGTAATCGCCAAACTTTTATTGTAAAGTCTTTTGAACCAGTAATGATCAAATTTGAACTAAAATTAACATTTTGTGGTTGAATAATCAAAAAGACACCTGACAGCATCTGTATGACCCAAGAACATACAAGTATATGCACCTTTCTCAAGGTCCCACACGCGAATTGTATTATTAATATATCCAGAAACTAGTATTTTATCAATATATTGTAGAAAATTAACATATTCACATATAGTTTTCAATAGAAACAGTTTGATTTTTTTGCAAACAGATGAATTTTGCAGGAGAAATAACAGTTTAAAGTTTTCCCGAAATTTGCAGTTTTTAAATTGTTGTTTCTCCCCCATTTTCAATAATATATGCGTCAAATGTGTGCGTAAAGATAGTAAATAAATAGTATTTTAAAAATCCAGAGAGTTATTTACATTTTAAAAAGTTCAATATTATAAAGTATTCATTCGAAAATTTCCTTTATTGCAATACTTTTTGTTCTATTACATTCTCTCTGTATCACCACTACACTACATATAGTTTTCAATTGAAACAATTTAATTTTTTTGCAAACAAATGAATTTTGCAGGAGAAATAACAGTTTTAAATTCAACGCGCTAAAAATAATTTTTTTTCACAAATTTTTTATCATACAGGAAAACGGGGGCAGTCATGACAAAATCCACACATATAGATTATATTAATTAGTATTAGATTTGTCAAACACAATTTAAAGTAGTTGCCCACCTACTAATAAGCACATATGTGCAATTTTATTTATTAATAATAAAATTAAAATTAAAAGGCGGGGAAAAGATTGGTCATGATGTCTATACATGTGGGAAAAGTTTTCATAAGAAATTATTTGTCTGTGTATTTTAAAATATGTATAAAATAAATCCTAAATAAATAAAACTAACAATTCGCAAAAAAAAAAAAAAAGATTTGTCAAACAACCAATATCAAATATCCCATTATGTCATGTGCAAATTTTCTAAATTTTCTGGGTATTTCATTTCACTTCACAATCGCTAAACAGTATAAGGGATGGTTTTATAAAAAATTTTAATAATCAGTTAATGTTTCATATTCTTCTAAATGTTCTATTTGAGATGTAAATTTCAGAATTTTCTTCAATTGTATCAATAAAATATTTAAATACAGTTGTATGATTTTCATTTGCTGGAAGAAATATGATGTTTTGTCTTTTTTAAATTTACTTTAATTAATAAAATTTTAAAGTTGATTAATATTTATTTTTATTTACCTGGAGATGGGAGTCCATTTATATTAGAGTAATTTAATATAAATTTAATAACCTGCAAAACTCCATCAAATGATATTGCTCTATTACTTGCTTTTCCTGTTAATGGACTTGTTCTCAACTGTATATCAAAATTATCAAAATGACTTCTAATATCTTTCCATCTTGTAGTGCCTATACCATAGATACCCAAAAATGCAGTTTTGCAAATTTCTATACCATTGAAAAAATAAATATTTGCAAATTTCATTCTTTTCTCTTTTTAGCAGTTGTTTCACTTCTCAAACTGGCAGAAAGAATACCTCTCAAAAAAATATCCTGTTCAGTTTTCCTTAAATCAAGAAAGCATTTATATCTAGTTTTAACATTATTAAAGTTCAACTTCTTTTTCAAGCATTCTTTTTGACAACAAATTTTTTCTAGTAAATTTTCTATATAATGATTTATATCATTGTCTATTTCCATTTGTTCTTCAGAATCAATGATTTGGTCATCTATTATTTTGTTTTTATTATAAATATTTTTAAATTTATCTATTTGTTCTTTAGACAATGTTTCTGTTTCATTATCACTTTCTTCTATTTCATCATGGCTTTCTTCTATTTCATTATGGCTTACTTCTTCTTTGTCAACTATTTTTTCGTTTTTATTAATGATTAAATTAGACATATAACTTATTCTCAAATTAGCAAAAGATTCTTCTAAGTCAAGTAAATCAGGATATGTTTCAGAAAAAACATTGTCAAAAAATAAATGTGTAAAGGACATTCTTTAAATACCAGATTCAATATTTGTGTTGTGAAAAGTATTTGGTTATAAGTTTTTTTTAAAAAAATCAAATAAGGAAAATAAATAAATAAACCATGTAACATTAATTA